AATGTATAGATTTTCCTAAATATATATAGTAAAATCTAAATACATGCATAACTACTGGTTAACCAGCCACATACCGTATTCTTGTTTGGGTGCAGTCGCACCATGCCCATCTCGTGTGACACACACACCCTGTTACCAGGGTATGTGTAACCCGTTACAACTTTGGTGACCTATCTCCGGCATCCTTGATTTGGATCCTATGGGTATAAAACCAGGTACTTCCCGGTCCCAGGCCAAGCTACAAACCACTTGAGCCAGGATTGGCTCTGTATAGCCGGATCAGATATGATGAGAAACGACACCCCTTTATAGGAGTCGTGTAAGCCATGCCAAGCACGTGCTGTAGGGTTTTATTCATTACACTCTAACCCGACTCTACCCGGCCCGGGGATTGAACCCTGGACCTCCCGGTCCTGAAGTGAGCGGCGTACCACTGCACCACAGGATCGGATAGCCGGATCAGAGCGAGCAAATTATGCTGTCGCCGGGTATGGAAAATGATAAGGCATGCGACTGTTGTGAATAGAAGAATCTGTCTCTGATGTTATTAGGGAAGACATCCTTGTCATGATGCGACGAACCTAACATTAGCTAAGTACCTATCATGCATTTCTCTCGTGATTGATGACCAGAGTCGCAAGACGATTGTGGTACTGTTAGTCTCGACGGAGAATATGGGATCATAAATGCACCATAAATCAGACCGTACCCAACGAGTACTTAGTACGAGTACTGGTGTGAAGCGACTATTCTTAATCAATTTTACATTTTTTCTGTTTTTGGTGAACAAGCACAAGAACAACATGGTTGGTTGCGCATTGCTCAGTGCTCTCAAACTAGGCAACAGATTCTGTTAATTGCTCATGCGAGACAGTGATTTTTCTTTATAGTATTAAGTACTCGAATGGTAATATCTGAAAGTGGCTATTTATGCTAACAGGGAATTGTTTGATATATCATAGCTTAGTAATACAGCATTAAGGCCACAACTAGCGTACGCACAAATCAATTTCGACGATAGATTTGTCCACATTCGCGCAGAGCACGGGTCTCGGATGTGAACATCCATATTTAACACTCATATGCTGTGCTCAGTTTGATGTCCTTAAACTAAGCTGTTCGTCAACTTAGACAAATGTGCCCTTGTCGCTGGCGAGATTTTTTCTGAGCATGCTTATCTCAGCGCTGATTCTCTAAGCAAACTATGTGCGGCTGTACACGTGGTAAGGGCCCCGAATACTAAATTTTATATGAGATGCACATTTATTTTACTACGTCCTCAATCCTTGTTGAGAGCTATGTAAACTTGTGCAAACAAGGGAGAACTTACGTGCACTGGAGACATTTCAACGAACAAATTTTCTCCACATGCTTAACATACTTGATTGACCTATTGATTCCGCCAAAATGCTGGTAATTTATTGGTATGGGCCTTAATTTTGCTATTCCTGGATAAGACTGTGTAATATTAGCGATGTAGTCAATTTAGACCGTTTGGACAGACCCACCCATTCTGCTGCTATAAGCAAGATGATTTTATATTGATTAGGATTCGCCAATTGCTCATTACACCCTCCCCTGATTTGCCGTGTCTACAGGCCTGAAGGCGGCGATATAATCCCTTGTTACTGGGCGTTTGCCCTCGTTGGTCAGAGAGACTTATTAGGTTTTACTCACCACCATTCCAAACAAACGAGCTTACAGACGCCATTTGACGATCCCACTTGTCTAACCCTTCAGGTACGAGGCGTGCTTTCAAAGAAAAAGTATTACTTTCACACATCCGTTGATGAGGGATTTGGCTTTGAGCCGTTGCGGCGCCTCAAGCTGAACAATTCGTATGTGCAGCCTTAAGACCAGACTCTCAAATGAATTTCGCATCATTTTTGTAGCTCATTGCACCGGCCACGCGAGAGTCGCCCCCTTCACCACTGCTCAATAAACAAGGTGAAGCCAACGGTCATGTGGAAATCCTGTGGGTCGAAGTTTCCGCCAAGGGTATATTCAGCATTTGGTAAATTAGAAGATCTCTCCACACTGAAAGCCCTTATGGATTTGAGGCTCTACATCAGCAAGATTGCCCTGGCACCGTTGACGCCTAGGTTCTGGTGCACCCTAAGTCTCAGGCTCCAGTGAAGATGAGGCAAGATCGCCCGCATCAGCGTCTTTTTCACCTGCAAATGAAGTCGATCTTGTTCTAGTTTGAAAATCTGTCTCTAGCTGAAACAGCTGTCTCAGTGGGACAGGAGGGTCTGTCAACCGCAAGGTTTAAAAGTACATTATCCCACCGCGACGTTTAAGTCGTGCTCTATACTTGCAATGTTAAGCATAAAACGACACTCTCGTTGAATGTCGGATTCACTGAAGCTGACTTGGACAGCTGATGCGCGAAGTGAGATCGATGATCTACGGTCCTTTCACAGGGACGCAGTACCCTACGTATAGTATCAAAAAAGAGCACGATTTTCACTACGATGTACAATTGCAGGCTATCATACTGCATGATTGCATAATTGCGCAGAGATGTAGATAGTATGTTCGCAATAATATAGATGAACCCTGTTGCACCTACCCCATCACGATGAAGACTGGGTTTCGCCCTTATTTTTGAATTTGCACGCAAGTGAATTTAGGAATCTAATGCGCCTTGAAATTCCTTCCTTGTATTCTGATGATTCTGCTTTTCAAATGATAGTCGCTATTGGAACTTTCTTCCATATACACCATCGCATGACTCAGCGATAAGGCATGGTGCTTGCGTCTGGAAAACTTAAAGCCATTCCGATGAGGAGGCCGAGGTGTTCTCTGATAGGACAGTTGTAGCGACTGTCCGAGTTCTGGCCCGGCACCCCCGCTCACGCCCAGTGGCAAACAACCAGGATACTGATAAAAAGACGTGACACACACACCTTCACCCTAGCACAAATGACGCTCTCCGCTTTTTGTTGTCGGTGAAAGATGCTGTGGTCCTATTGCGGACCTCACGACGACATCCAGCCCGTCACAATGAGGTGAACCTGAACCAGGTTGCCAAGCTTATCCATTTACAAGCCTATAATCCCCAGCGACTTTCGGGAATCTCATCACGTCGTGATTACCAATTACATTTTTCTTTGTTGCTCACCACTCTGGGGTGAGGTCCTAATACACTTGCCATGCTCCTCGAGGAAGCAAAATAACTGCTTCAACTCTTTCCACGAGCGCTTTTAAACCCAGCCGGTCATCAACGTACAAAGTTCCGGAGCAGCGACGGTTGGGTCGATCCGAACCCTCCCTATCGACTATAGCTTCGGCAGCTTATGTATGAGAAAGTATGAAAAAAGCATCGTGGTCTCACCGCGTACAGGGTATTATAGATACGCCGCCCCACCTGTAACGGGGCTTCACGTGTACTGGCATGAAGGTTGTGGGTCACACCTGGACTGCCAGCAGTTATACATTTAATTAGGTTTTACTATATAGATAGGAAACCTATAGATTTAGATATAGGCGGCTTTGCCGCAGATAAATCCGAGAATAGCTGTTTACGTTTCAATCGGAAGCTTTAATTAGCCCTGGATTAAGGTTGCAAATACTCTTGGAGTCAGTGGATTGCGATTCGCTACAATCGTACTGGTTCGAAGTGTAGGATGAAGGTCACCGACCTTAACTAAGCTTTTCTAAGCGAAAGAACTACGGCAGCTTTGTAGCATCAGTAAGCAATCTACACCTGAGTCGTTATGACTGACCCTCAGTGAGGAAAAACCTGATGTCTCTGCTTGGCCCTGAGGGCGTGCAACCCATCGCTTCGAAAGGACCTGAAGCGATCAGCGCGCGCCTAGAGGCGTTTTCAAGCTATGAAAATGCTCTACTAGAGCACCTACAGCAGAAGATGTTGGCGTCGACTGCGTTCATGTCGCCACTGTCGACGAAGAATGACTCCCCCCCCGACCCAAGTCGCTCTAGACGCATCAGATTGACGCGGTGACAACGACAACATGGTGAATGTTAAGACCTCTGAGAGCAAGAATGGAGTAAATATTCTGCTCTGGGTGAGAAAGGTCGAGATGGCCACGACGTCCGCCATGCTCCAGACGGAGCAGCAGCTCGTGGCGTTAGCTATATTCAAGCTCGAGGGTCGAGCGTGAGCATGAACACTGACGTGTGGCACTTAGGTCGAAGTGGCGTTTTCCTCCTGAATGGAGCTGAAGGTGCAGCCTTCACTAGTGTTCTCGCCGCCTAACCAAGCATATCGCGTGTGATCGCATTTCCTTGCATCACGACAAGGCAAGAAGGATTTGGTAGACTTTGATCAAGCGTTGCGTACTCCCATTGCCAATATGGCAGCTGACCCTCTTCCCGAGGCGGTCACAGTGACCGTCTTTATGGAGGCCGCACTGGTGTGACCAGAATGGAAGTCATCCGTATGCGCCCATTTTTGTTCGATGAAATCTTGAATGTGGCATTGAATGCCGAAATCAACTTTAAGTCGGCACGATTTGGTTGGAATGCACATTTTAGCAGCTCGTCGAGCGGGCCTGACACGATGGATCTCAGCTATGCTGAAGGCGAGGAGGCAGATCTCCGAGCTGCATTCAAATATCCGACGGTGTTTTGTTTATGGAAGCACCCGTCAAATTCGGATTGGTTACCCCTGCGCGAGGCGCGTCAAAATTTATCGAACCGACGTCCCGCTTTATAACCAGTCTTCTGGGTTGTCGCGGGGAAACGACAACGCCAAGTAGGCGCGGGGCGGCCTACTGCGGAAGAACTGAGTTTTGTTGAGCCAGGCCGAAGTGCTGCGTGCTCGTGAACGAACGCATATGTGAACCGGGGTTGCTGGTCGTGGGAGCGACTGTGAAGGGCCAAGGCATCGAGGGCGAGGCCCCAGTGATGCATGTGGAGTGGCACATTATCCACTGGACGAAGACTGCGGGTCTAGCAGCTCTTCGTCGAATGTTTTTGATAACATCAGGGCTCCGGTGGAGCAGAAAGTGGAGCTAACACATGACGGCGCTGAGTGCGTGTTCACACTGGCCTCGCCGGGACGTACAACCTCTGTGAAGAGGCGACAGCGACGCCGTATGCTAGCTGTAAGACGCCGGCGTCGACCCTGACCCAGGATGTGTCTATCGTAGATGATAGCGCACAGCTATACACCCTCGCCGACGGTATAACGGGGAGAAAGACGGCAACGCCACCCTCGAGGCTAATCCTGCGGTGGATGCTCTTCTTGAGCTTGACGGGATGTCCTTCGAAGCGTTCACCTATGCCTTGAAGGAAGGCGACTTAGCCGAAGTGGTCATTTTACGACCGGAAGAGGAGATCAAACTGTCGTCGCTTCTGGATGAAGCTGTCCTGAAGGATACCAAGAGGTGCTGAACGCACGAAGTGGATCCTCGATCCTGAAGAATACCTCGGATCTGTACTATCCTTTGGTAAAGGAATTTCATGACTTTGTCTCCAACGACCCGCCGCCAATCCTACCTCAAGACCGAGGTGTGCGTAATGAGATCGATCTGATCCCGGAAACCAAATACTGTGTAGCACCCTGTCCAATGAGCAGTGCAACGACATTGTAATTCGCGCTTTCTTGCGAATCACGACGTATGTATGGTGCGTGAGAGTAAGTTTCCCTATTCGACACGCATGTTTGTGTCCGGATGCCTAACGGCAAGTGGCGTATCGTTAATGCTTACAATAAGCTCATTGCTGCCGCCATTCCGACACAGACGCCGATCCTAGGAAAAATACTCTCTAGAACAACATGGTTGGATGTACAAATGCAGTGCACTCGACTTGGTCGATGGGTGTTATCAATTGCTCATGAGAGCGGGTGATATTCCGCTGATAGCGGTGAGTACTCCA